GGCTTTAACTATATTAGTACTTCTTGATTTTAGTAATGCTTTTAACTCTGTGGACTATGACGTTCTTCTTGCAATACTCCGCTCACTTAACATCTCCTCCTCGGCAATCACGTGGTTTGATTCTTATCTTCGTGGGCGGTCGCAGCGGATCCACTGTGATGAGGCTTACTCGGAATGGTGTGATCTTACTGCGGGCGTACCTCAAGGTGGCGTCCTTTCACCTCTTCTATTTTCTATATTCATAAACACAGTCACTTCCGTCATCTCCTCCAGCTTCCATCTTTATGCAGACGACTTACAACTGTACCGCCATTTCAATGTAGCTGACATCGGTAGCGCCACGGAAGCCATTAATAGGGATCTTCAGAATATAGCTGACTGGGCGGATTCATTTGGGCTTGTAGTCAACCCCAACAAATCTCAGCTGATGATCATCGGTAGCCCGTACATGCGCGGGCAAATAGATGACACTAGAATTCCACCTATTCGGTACAATGGGACACCTATTGCTTTCACCAAAACTGCAAAAAATCTTGGCGTTTTACTTGACTGCAACCTGAACTGGACGGCTCAGGTCAATGATGTCAGCAGACGAGTATTCTACGCTTTTCATTCCCTGAAGCGTCTCCAAAACTTTCTGCCCTTGCAAACGAAAATTACTCTTGCTCAAACACTACTCTTCCCTATTTTCGACTACGCAGATAGCTGTTATTTAGATGTTACCGAAGAACTGCTGAACAAACTTGAGCGTCTACAAAACTTATGTATCCGCTTCATATTTGGTTTACGTAAGTACGATCATGTTTCTGAGTTTCGTAGACAGCTCAAGTGGCTTCCGATCAGACTTCGAAGAAACTCTCATGTACTTTCTTCTCTTTTCAATATTCTAAATAGCCCTTCTTCTCCTTCGTATCTTAAGGAACTCTTTCACTTTTCACGACCCCTAGATAAACCATGTCGCTCCCATGTCAGGACGATTCTTACTATTCCTCTTCATCACTCGGATTTCTATACCTATTCATTTACTGTGCATGCAGCCAGGCTGTGGAACTCTCTTCCGCACACAGTGCGCGATAGCCCGACTATCTCTGTGTTCAAAAGACGAGTTAAAGAGCATTACCTATCTCTTTCTTAGTAATCCATTAAAGTATATATATTTATATTATGTATGTATATATTTAGTATATGTAGGTCTATGTAGTTATATATATTATTGATAGGTATTGTATGTAAGTATGTAGTTTATATTAAAGTAAATTTTATTTGATTGTGCACGCCTTATCTGCCTCACTCTATGCTTTCTCACTACCTTAGGTCTACTGGAAGAGATTTCTTTTTAGAAATAAGTAGTCCTGTTGTAAATTGTTCTTTATGTATTTGTCCTATGTGTTTTTCATGTGTACAATAAACGGTTTAATAATAAGGTGAATCACACATGCCATTACGAAATAGCGGTTTTTGTCAGCCGCCATTCAATAAAAACTTGTGACGACCGAAAGACGCGGTAAAGTGTGCCTGTGCTACTGCAAAGAAAAGGTCATTGTTTGGCTTTGGTTTTTGTAGAGTATTTCGAAAACAAGCAGGTGTGTTGAGAAACAAAAACCCGACTGCGGTAATTTCAGATTTGTATTTTGCGATAAAAATTCCACTATTTTGAATTTATGAACTTTTAATACAGCCAGTAGTGTCACTCACGCTGCTGAGATGAATATAACGATACCTCACATGTCAAGATCTGCCCAGATCTTTGGGCTGTAGCCCGTGAAAACGAATTTCTGGATACATTATGTACTTGCATACTCTCGAAAAACATAACCCTCCTGAGGCAGTAGGGTCAAAATAACGGATCGGACAAAATATCGGAAAACACATGTGATGAATGTGAAAACCTACTTCAACTAAAAGTGAGGTGCGGTGAAACTGTGAAGCAAATGTTAATGAAAGTCGGATGAGTTTGAATCATATCGTGCAGGTCACTGAGTTGACGAACTACCTGAAGAGTTTTAATGTAAAATAGAAATACACATAACACGCTTTTATCTCATGTGGGAAAGGCAGAGAGCTACCATACTTAAAATACGGTCGCTTTCGCCATGACAGACAAATATTTATGTCGACAGAAATATGAATAAGACAAAATACAAATTCTTTATTATACCTTACCTTACCTAAGTTACCTTTTATCATTGCTATTAATAAAATCGCCCGTGCTTCGGAGGGCACGATAAACCGACAGGACCGATTGATGATGTCTACCTAAGATCACTCAAACAACGTAGAATAACTTTTAGACGCTTTTTAGGCGGTTTTCATTGAGTTACTCGTTGACGTGGTCGTTTTCCTAATTTGTGGTGCACTGCACCACACGATATTGATTTTGACAATGTCCTATTCATATCACAAATAGTATTAGCCAGGTTATCCACTTCACCATCAATTTGTGAAGGGTTAAAGTTACACAAGGGAGAAGCGACCTTTAGTTGGACGATGAATTATTCAGACACTTTGAGCACAAAGCAAGTATGGCAGGCGCCCAATACAGAGAGACGGCTACAAGGAAACGTTACGACACTCACACACACATCTACACGCCGTCGTTTACGCGCGAACTCGAACCGTTTCGTATCAGCTAGTAGCGAGTGTTAACAGCGTTCGGAGCGGGCAGGCGGCATAGCGACGATTCACAGATGCAAACAGTTTTGTATAGTGTGATAATGTGATATAGAGTAGAAAGTAAGTAAAGTAATGTACATAAGTATGTCTAACCCAGGTAAAAAAATGCCAACCAGACGAGATAAAAAGTATAAACAAATCTGAAAGAGATAGCTGACATTATACCATATGACAGATAAGGACAGATTGTAATAACTGTCACCGAGTCAAACAAAAGTTGTTTACAATAATTATCTCGTTTCGTTGGCCATACTTTACCACATTAAAAAATCAGAAAGATAAAGTAGCAACCTGAGAAAGTAGGCATAAATAATCGGAAAAAGAGCGAGCTGTCCTTCTGTAAATTCTCTATTTTGTGCTTTGAGTGCGATCGATCCTAAAGTGATTGCTTGGTTGAAATAAGGTTTGCTTGGAGATAGTAAGCGACCACAAGTCAAAAGAGATACGTTGGAGAAACATTGACTTGGTTTGGTATACAGAATACATTAAAGAGAAAAGGGAAACATACAGGGTGTAAGGGACAGCCCTCCGAATACTGAAAAGGTACATTTAGAACATGAAACTGTACAACTTCCCATAGATATAAATTTCAGGACACGTAATTTTTTTTTTAATTCCCATAGTAAATGCAATCAGTTGATGAGTTGATCGTGATTTTGTATGGGAAGTCGAAAAAAATTTTTCGTTTCCTGTAATTCAAGTTGTTCAATTTCATGGTCTGAATGCACCCTATCAGTATTCGGGGGGCTGACCTTTTCACCCCGTATTATTTGATACGGACGTCACCGTTGGACGTCACATTTAATAAAATAAGTGGCTAGATCAAATACGTCAAATAGTGATTAATTAGGTAATTAATTACAGTACAGCTGCGTTGTTTTTATTAGAGTAGGTAGTACAACGCCATCTATTAGTAAGTGTTTTGTAAATCAGTAAAAGGAAACATCTGTTCTAACATCTATTAGTAAAATCAATAATTAGAATATTAGTTTTACAACAGCGACGACTGTGATTGTGATGCCAAATCATTTAGCCATTGGAATCCCACGTATGCGCAACGACCCCCCCATTTTGGCAACGAAATGTATGTCAAAACGCTATTCACCAAATATCCAGCCGAAAACGAAAATACGGTAAATCTGCCAGACATGCTGAATACCTACCGAACATAGACCGAATATTCGGCCCATCTCTTGTAAATACTTTTAAACACTTTCATTCACCATCATCATCTTTACAAGAGTTCAATTCAAACTGTGATCAGTATTATTTGCTATTATCAGTTCCAGTTTTATCGGGGCTCCATAAAGACCTTCTCATACTTTCTATCGATTTCCTATAAAATTTACCTATCAGCTCCTTTTAGCACCTTTAGTGCCATTTAGGTGGCCTCTTAGCACTCTTGTAAGAGTTTAAGGGGTGCTTATTTAGAGTCAAATAAGCGCAGTTTGAGAACAAAAGGTTTTATATAGGTTGTAAAATTGAATCACAGCTTTTAAATTTTATGTGCCAAGAACGAATTGTGATAGCTTTTCAAAATAACTTTGACCTCGATACTAGGTGCCACTCATTGGAACAAATTACCCAACCATATCAGAGGCCTACTATTTGTAGAAGGCTTACACCAGGGTTCATCGGGCCGTTAGACGATTCGGTGTCCTACTCGAAAAAAAGAAGGAGATTGACACAAATGTCTAGATCATTCTACAGTTACTTTGTAAGTAGCTCTAGGTGTTGCATGCTCTAGTTCTCTAATTATGAAAAAGAAGAACTAATATGAGAGGCAAGCTCCACAGAATAGATGTGCGACGTGACGCGAAATATGACATCTGTTAGCCAAACGATCATCAGCCGATGCCGTTATCTATGGGACGCGCTTTTTGTTTCTCATGTTTCATACAATTTGATATGTTAATGGTCTCACGCCTCCAACGATCTCTTGTTTGAAAGATGCCGTATTAAGTCTTACATCTCACGTCTCACGTCTTATGTCTACTCTGTGGAGCTTGCACCTAGCAGGTATAGATAATTAATAAAGTTTACTGAGTGGTATCGGCTTAGGTTAGCTGACTCCATCTTCAAGAAAGGAATATTATGAAGAAAGTTAGCCTTGCTACCTTCTTTGAATAACATCGTTTATACCCGCGTGTGTCGTAAAAGGTATCTGATGGATGAAAACTCGGAATGAATAGCAGAATTTCTTGATAATAGAACCCCTGGCATTGCTCTCGATGACGATGAAATTTACTAAGCGTGGTGGCATCATCTAAATACTAGGCAACCTGCTCATTACAATGGGTCAATTTTTGAAAACTTGCAAATTTTTCTACTGCAGGCAGGATTTGATCCTGCAACCTTCGGCATCTGTACTGCAGACGCCATTACCAACAGGGTTACCGCGGTTAAGCAAGTATATCTTGGCCACTAACGCGTGGCTGGGCTCCATCTACCGGGATAGTTTTGCAACTAATTCTCAGTGACTAATAGGTAATATTTGATGGGCGTAAAACCCACGATGATACCTGGTTCGCTGGTCTCGCAAACAAAAGGCAAAAACGACCCCTAAACATGCATGTGCCAGTCTCCAATTCCACCTTCGTTTGTAGAGCGTGCGGAAAGTCATGCCGCTGCGCGCTCCCGTATCGGCCTATACAGTCATGAAAAATCTTGCCACTGAATAAATCGTCTGTCACGGACATTTATGAGGCCAATGATGATGAATAGGTAAACCAATTTTTTGCAGAAGGCCAATGATGTGACTGTTGATGTTTACGTTGTAATACGTACTAGTCCTCCAGGCTATCTAGCAAATCAGGGACGTCAAACTAATTCTCAATTGCAAAGAATGTGGTACGGATAGCAAAAAAGTTCACTATGTATGTAACAGAACTAAAAAGATAGCGCACACTCACTCTCCCACTATCCATCACTGAATCATGTTCCAGAACTAATCTAGCGGAAAACTGATGTAGTTGGTGTTATGATTTACAGTCTTCCTTTTCTTTCCATACGACATGCGTGAATTCTTTCTCGTAAAGATGATAATTTATGACGTGGTCTATGATTCTGAGATCAAGCAACGATGAGGGTATTGTTTATTTGATAATGTATGATTCAATGTTATAGAAAAGCAAATAAACGATGAGGGTAGTTCTTTCTTTTAGGGATCTTAGACTATTTAAGTTTTAATGTGAGTTAGAGCTCGGAAAATCAGCATAACTGAAGAGAATAACGCAGTCAAATCGGAAGTCACTCAATTTGGTACTGTAGATACAAACCCTTTTTTTATTGAAGGTTTCTTTCATCTCCAGTATGGGTCAGAATGAAATAGGGAAAAACATTATAATACTACGTGACGGCCATGCACAGTGGGACAAATTCCATCCAAGCTCGTCTTTGCAATACGTAATGGAAAGAGTCGAAGAGATGTTAATAAAAAAGCCAGTGATTTGATTACAGTAAATTCATCATCATACAAGAGCCTTCTTGTAATTCTAAATCACCATCAGTCAGAAATTACCTCGACTCAAACCCAAAAACTCATTCGAACAGAAAATCCGATCAAATATGGTAAAAAGCTTATAACTCTCTTCAAAAGTGGATCAAAAAGTTATGCGCGTTTGGTCGGATATTTTCTGAAGGGCGGGAAGTTGACACAGTAGGCAAAAGATGCAGAAAGTTGCTCTTGATTAGGTACTATTAGGAAAATAATTGATTGTGAATGTGATTTATTTTAAAATGAAATTATTTTCTTACGCCTATGCACTGTGAAATTCCAAACTATACTTACGTTACCACGAATCACTACGATTAAGATCTCGAGTTAGTTTTTGACATGTAAAAGTAAGCTAAATTTAGTGTTAAAAAGTAAGTTTCGGGTTAGTTTTTGACATGTAAAAGTAAGCTAAGTTTAGTGTTAAAAAGTAAGATTAATTTAGCGAATCGCTGTCACCTAATTTTCTACTTATAATACAGGGTGTAAGGGACAGCCTTCCGAATACTGAAAGGGTGCATTCAGACCATGAAACTGAACAACTTCCCATAGAAATAAATTTCAGGAGAACGAAAAAAAAATTTCGACTTCCCATACAAAATCATGATCTACTGATTGCATTTACTATGGGAAGTCAAACATTTTTTTACGCTTCCTGAAATTTATTTCTATGGGAAGTTGTTCAGTTTCATGGTCTGAATGCACCCTTTCAGTATTCGGAGGGCTGTGCCTTACACCCCGTATCTATATACATACATATAATAAAGTTGTAGAGGGTCGAAAGTCTGTACATAGAAGATTTTCGAAAAACCTGTTTGGTGATACTTAAAATTGATAACAGAACAAGTTTCAGCAATTTTTAGATTTTTTTTCTGTTTATCTGTTTATTTGTTTATTTGTTTATCTGTTTGTATGTGAAAGCATCACGCAAAAACGACTGAACCGATTTTGATGCAAATTATACCAAAATGTCGGGAAAATTACCGACCAGGTTATAGGCTAAAAAAATTCGACCCCTAAAAGGGGGGGTTGCCACTATACTTGAAATAAGTTTGCACGTAAATCGGTATTGCGTGCGTTGCGTGCGGTAGAGGAATAAGTTACTATAAGATGTAAAAAAAAACTACTCAAACTATTCCAAAGGGTGAACCAGTCCATGAAACTGAACAACTTTCCCCAAGCTATCGAGACGGCTGGAGCATTTTGTATGGGAGGTCCAATTATTTTTCCTACAGTAGGTAAAAAATAACTGCACGTATTTTACGACTAAACCAGTCCATGAAACTGAACAACTTTTCCTAAGAAACATAGGTAGAAATACGAATAAAAATTTGGCCCTCCCATTCAAACTGAACCGGCCGGCCAGAACATTTTGTATAGGAGGTCCAAATTCTTTTTTCATATTTCGACCTATGTTCCTGGGAAAGTTGTTCAGTTTCATGGACTGGTTCACTCCTAAAATATATGCAGTAAATTTTTACTCCTTATACAGGTGTTAGGGCGGTGTGACAAAACTTTGCTGGCATGATCAGACCATCAAACTGAACAACTTTTACTATGGAGCTAATGGTGGGAAACGAAAAAAATTTTTCAATCTCCCATACAAAGTCAGTCAGCTGATCGTAAATTTTGTATGGGAGGTCAGAATTTTTTTTTCGTTTTCCACCATTGGCTCCATAGTGAAAGTTGTTCAGTTTGATGGTCTGAGCACGCCTGCAAAGTTTTCGTTACACCGTCCCTAACACCCCGTATTTTGAACTACCTATGTTTCTTGGGGAAAGTTGTTTTCATCCTATCTATTCGAAAAGAACGCGCCGCAAAGTTCTTTTATTTGCACTTTTTAAATAAAGAACTCAACAAATGCGAATAAAACTACTTTGAATTTAGAATATCTTGATGTTCAGTCAGCGCCAAAGAAATAGAACGCAAATATTGTTCGAATAAAGGCTGTATGGGACGACGGCCCATAGTCGTGCGTCCCCAATAGAACTAAAAAAAAGATACGCGCGAATTACAAATTTTCACCAAAAATTACACGTATGTTAGGCGCAAACTCCACCAAAAAGACGAAGAGCATAGGACGTAAGAATGACAGTTGACAGACAAGTGATCGTCAAATATTCTTCTTAGTTTTTGACGCTAGTGCTGTCATAGATGCGACGCTTCGGCGACGCTTGTGTGTGCCTTTGTCAGTACTTTTTCGTACATTTTGTATGGAAACGTCGCGATGTCAAACGTCAAGCGTCATGCCCTACGTCCTATGTCCTCTCCATGTCCTCTCTGTGGAGTTTGGGGCTTAGAATTTTATATAACTTTTTGAAAAATTAGTTCAAGTGACAGTGAAAGTATAACATTGCAATAAAATATGAGGCGCCTTTTATTTTCTCATAGAGGGTGATGAAAAGTAGAGTGAATTACTCGGGCGCAAAATATATTTTGGCTTCGGGGATTCTACTCTAGAATCCCTTACTTCGCTCTGAATTCAAAAAAGCGCCCTCGCCGTAGAAGTGTTGTTTTGCGCCCTTATGATATCTACTAAAAGTTTCTTGAACTGGTTCACCCCTTAGAATATTTGCAGTTTTTTTTTACTCCCATATTGGAGTCTAGATTCGAACACGTACCAACATAATAGTAAAGCAAAATAAAAAACCAGCCAAGAGCGTGTCAGACACGCCCACAAATAGGGTTTGTAGTCAATGTTAAATATCAGCGTTACGAAGTTACCTAATTTCGTTGCTGGTTTGTTTGCAGTAGTAAGTATGCTTACGAACCACAAATTAAAAAACTTTTATTTTTCTTAAAACTTGCGTGGATACAGTATCCGATATAGTTTTTATGGTAACTTCAGACTAAGAACTATTTTTTTTTCAAATATTTAGTTCTAGGAAGAGAAAACTCCCCATAAAACCAAATACTTCGAGGCAGAATCACTTTTGTGATTATTTTTTTTCGCCTTAAGTTTTAAAGATCTATTTAACGATACCCTACTTAATATAGCAGATGGTTATTTTTATCCTCCTTTCACATGTACCTACGCCAAAAAATAAAAACATTTTTTTCCCAACATTCTAAATTTGTGTCAAGCAACACGAACTATCTTCACATCAAAGATGTCGATCGATTGAAAAGGACGAAGTTATGAGGGCGGGGCATACAGTTAGTTTGTGTCTTAAATGGGTAGGTGGATTTGCTGGCGATAGTACATAAATCTGTATGTACATGTATTAAAACTGTTACAGGTCGGTGTCAAGTACCCCTGCAATAGTTTTCAAAAGAACATTTCGATAGCGTGTCTTAGAAACAGCTACAAAAAAAATATGTACAGCTTGATGGGCCGCTCCTGCAGGCCTATCCCTTTTGGTAGGTAGGTACCTAAATAAATAAAAAGTATACATACCTATATTTTTTCTAGCAAATTTGCAAATATTGGCTTTATAAACATGCGAGTTTCTCGAAAACCGTTATGTAAAAATAATATGTTACTTGAACATTTAATCAAGCATATCTTCATCTAAAAAATGTACAATGTAAATATTAAGATTTTAGTTTTAAACCTGTTATAAACAGCGATATCTAAAGCGACAAAACCAAAATTCAGGAAAAGACCTCAAATCAAGCGTGAGTTTTAGACTTTTGGTTCACTGTAAAAAAATATCAATTATACAAAAAAATAGAGTATATATTTGAGAACAAAGTCTACAGTGAACATTTTACAATTTTATTCAGAAATATAGAATAATACTACGTTTTTATATACGATTTTTTGCAAAATAATGCGCCATTATAACGGCTTCTGTATGAAAAAATAACAGTAGTAAAGATTAAAAAAAAAATATATGTTATTTAAGAAGATGTACTTAATCTAATTGCAGAAAAATATATTTATTTTTATTCATAATAGCACTGTAAA